AATATTAAATGTGTGTGTGTGTTGGTATGTGTGTATTTGTGTGTCCGTGTTATATCAAGATATTGTCTTTTATCTCTCCAATGTTGATACCCTCAATCCAAAAGGCTAACCCATAATGAATACAGGGCAAAAAGTAATTTCTTCTCCTGCTGTTGAGGAATAGAAATTCTTTGGGAAAAAATTTCCACTTCAGCCAAACCAAAGCATTAACAAGTTCTTGTAATTAAGTGGGGATTTGGCTTTCTAGGAACTATGTAATACATGATCACACAGATAGCATGTGGATGCAGTTCAGCTTAAGCAAATAAAATTAGATATTAATAGATTGGAAAATTAAAATGGTATGTGATCCACTCACTTGCACCGGTGTGCTTTCTTTCTCCATAGCACAAATGATACCATCCACTGGACATAGCAAATTAAAGAACCAAGCAACCATCTTAGAAAATTATATCAGACCAAATGCTGCAACGGATAATGATTGCAACAACTATACTACACTTCATAATTTGAATTTATTGGTGTATAATGATAAACCTTATGAGGTTGAAAAAAAAATTTAAAATTGATTCACTGCAAATTTTATATTTTTTCCCTTTCCATATTGGCAATTATTTTCAAAGAACTACACAACATTGGCAATTTTCACCCTTTATATTATTATATTAAAGTTAGGTTATGTGTAAAAGTCGAATGGTATGTTTTGTTGAGAATCTGTCATTACTTGAATACCTTGAATAATGACATAACTGAGGAGCGAATGATGGAAGGTTTTCTCACGAGTGTCCTCTTTGGCTGTGACATGTCTTTGCACAATTTTTGAGCAATCTCCTTCAACAATACCATATGTGATTTATCAGTGCTCATTGAAATCAAAGCTTGCCTCATTGACTCCCTATCAGCCTCAAGTGCATGCAACCTTGCAAACAACTTCTTGATATCGACATCTTCTCCATTGCTATAAATCATTGAATCCTTTGGGGTATTATTATAATTTTCAGAAGCCCCCTCAGATGCCTTATTATAAGCTGATTTCACTAGATGTATGGAATCAATTGTGTAAACTCTGTCACCCATGCAATCTTCTACTTCAGATGCATTCTCTACTCTCATCAAGTTCGAAAACTCTTCTTTTAGTGGAAATTCCGTCTTCCTCAAACTCCCCCCAAACTTTGGTGATTCTATCCCAAGATCATAATTATTTGCTACCCTGAAAGACCCTAAACTATCAGTTGAAAACTTCTTCATATGCCTAGGCCTCCTTGGAGATTGACCAACTATCACCTTTTCTATAGTGTTGTTCTTATAGATCCGGTCACCATCAGGGTGAACTGTCATCGAACTCCTTTCCAACAGGTTGATCTTACTCTCCAAATCCAAGAAATGGTCACGTGTTCCAGGAGTTTCCCCAAATGCATATTTTTCAACATCCCCAATATCATTATCAACCTCAAAGTAAACTTCGTTCTCATACAAGCATTTTAATGGGGGGTAATCATAAACAGGGACCTCAAATTGTGCATTAGAAGTCTCGGAAACGCTGATAATTGAGCCAAAACGACTTCTCTCTTTCTCAATCTCTTCCTCTATTTCTGACTCCGTGAAACCGAGACTCATCATTCTGTGCTTATACATCTGAACCTCATATGTCAATGCATTTATTTCTTGCTCCCTCTTGTATAATAGATCCTCTAGTAAAACTAACTCTTGCTGATCATGTAACATTTTCTCCTCTGTAAATCTCTTAAACTGTATAAATTCCATCTGAATCTCGGCCTTCTCTCTTTCCAACCTCAGGATCATAGCCATGGCCTCATTGGCAGCTGAAGCTGACGCATACCTCTCTGCATCTAGCTCAGTGTTTAAATCCTCAATACTCTTATGTTGGTTGCTCACCATTTCACGAAGAGCGGCACATTCATTTCCAATGTCTATCCGGGCCGTCAATGTCGGCAATACAAATTCTGATCTTGAAACTACCGAATTCTTCGAATTATTGAATTTTTTTACCACATAACATCGGTATGTTCCAGAATCAGTTCCATCAATGATAGAACATCTCCCTCCGCAATCATTGCACCGGGCACTGCTTGTAGACGGGCACATATCTTCATAATCCATACCATGAAAAATCAATAATGCAACAAAGTGACAATCTGGAATATGTAGGGGGAACGCAACCTGAATGAAACCCATAATACATGAATTGTCCTTACTCACAATAAATAGGATGAATTTTTTTGCAAAAACATAAAACCTACCCTGTCACGTTCGATCAAACCCTAAACCAGACAAAGTGTCATCCATTGGTACATGTTTGCATGCAATGCAATTGCATCAAATGGTTGCTTGATGGAAAAACGTTACCTGGTAACAGGAGGAGAACGAGAGGCGGTGAATTTATGGTTGGTTCTTCATGGAAAGATAAGTTTGTTATTGCTTTTCTGCAAGCTTTGCAAAAGGATAAAAAAAAATAAAAAATTCTCCCCGGAGATTGGGAGAATTCAAAGCTCGCAGAGGAGCGGAAGGTAGGCTATTGAGATTTGAGAAGCTAAAATTATTTACGTGCCGTATTTGTTTTATTCGTATGTTCCATTTCATGTTTGGGAAGATGTGAGGAACTGATTACGCAGTTTTTTATTTGTTGGAATTCTATCATCTAAAATTGCAATGAATCTATTATTGCAAATATAATTTAGAATGTTTAGTTTAACTCCTTCTCTCCCCACATATTTAGAAGTATATTTAGAACTAAAAACATTTACCATTCTACAAATGTCAAACTAAATAAATTACAGTAACACATGGTTGTGTGGAGTCAACATAATTTTTTAAGGTTTTAACTCCTGCATTACTTTTTGTTTTTTTTCCATTTCTGTAAATTATGTTTTTTTTGCTTTGTAGTCTTTCACTGATCATAACAACCTCCATTTAACAAACAAACAATTTTGACTAATAGATAGATTCTAGATATCAAATAAGAACACTTAATAAGAACACTTAATGATTGTTTTATTAAGTATATTGACATTAAATAAGAACACTTAATAATTGATTTAGAGCATTGTATTTACTAAAACTAAAGATGCTAGTATTACAAGTCTACAACATTTATTAAGTGACATTGTTTTTATTATTATATGTCACTTTATTGAAATTAATTAAAGATAAAATAATGGCGTTAATATCACCATTAGTGTTTGCATTTCCAAAAGTACGACTCTTTATTTTTCATTAAATGTGACTTTAATTAATTCAAATGCACCTCCTATCTTATTCAAACGTGTGAAGTCTTAATTACATTATTTTTCTCCCTTATCATTAACATCCAATCATTTCCTAATGTGAAACTCTACTCATTCTTTCAAATCCATCTCACCTTCAATTATCATGCAGTCATAGTCTAAGCAGAAACACTCGCCGCCCACTGCCGGAATTAGCTGCCCACCGCCGGAATCAGCCACCCACCGCTGAAGGACTCTGCCACTGGAACCAGCCCCCCTCCTTGATCTCACGACGACAAGCCTCACACATCCCTTACCTTCTCGTACGACATAGGGACGGTTGACGCCGCCCTATGGATCTCCTCAGTGGGAATCCCCATTTTTATCCTTTCTTAATTATGTGTTTCTGCGTTTTCTCCTTCATCCTTCTTCTCCATGTTCAACAACAACATGCACTACACCAAACTTTCTTATGTTTCCCTCATGGAGGGTTTGGGTTACTAAGGGTTGTATAGTATTGGGTGGTTTTTAGTCACTAAAAGGTGCACGAACGAACTCGCGATCCAACAACGACCAAATATTTGGTTTCTGAAGCTTTTTTTATTGAGGTGATGTGGCTTCAGAAGCTTTGTCTTGATGGTTATTATCGTGAGTGAAGTGAGGTCACTATAGTTTCATTTGTATTCCAATAAGTTTGATAATTAGTAAGAATGTACTTGATCTTGGCAATCACACAAAGGGATGTGTGTGTAGGGGGTCATTTTTGCCGGTTATGTGCAGAGGAAGTGTTAAGGTTAGGGTACATATGCAGCGACGGCTAGACATTGCAGGGTGATGGTCACTATGCGACGGTCATTGGGGCCAAAGATAGACACTATAAGGAGCCTGGTGGTGGTCATTGAATGACATAGTCAATAAAGGAGTCTCACAGTGGTCACTGAACGACTAAAGGAGCCGACAATGGTCACTGAACAACATAGTCACTGGGCGGGTTACGGGCGGTAGTTACTGACTAACATTGCAAGGGACGAGTCACTGAGTGGAGTACTATCCACTCTCATGTATAGTGACTGGGTTTTAGTTACAACCAGAAATAAGCTAATATTGACTATTATCTAATCTACAGTGATATGGATTCAATTACAACCGAAAATAACATACATATTAATAAATAGCAGGCCGCCATTAAATTTTACGGAATATATAGCGTTCTCCTAAACTTTAGATGGCAGTTACAAAAATAAAGAAACTCATAGTAATTAACCGGTTAAATAGCAAACATAATTAAACTCATATTAATTGTATGATGATAGATGCCTTTAATGGATGGATCTGTACAAGGTAATTAACCGGTTAACTAGCAAACATGATTACTCTAGTAATCACTTTTTTTTGGAAATTTAATTTATGAGTCACATTTTTGTCATTTCAAATTATATTTGCAATACTCATAATAAAAAGCCAAAGATAAAGTGTTGGTAACAAAATGTATATTTTTATCAAATCCCATTTTTATTGATTGATGACAAGAGTTTTGATTTACTTCACTTCAATAAATAAATAATAATTAAATACTAATTTTAGTATTATTCTACGTAGCTTCATCTCAGAACTCTCTATCTTGCTCGCTCTATCCGATCTCCATGACGAAGCAGCAAGCTAATTGGTCCCCTTACGACAACAATGGAGGAACATGTGTGGCGGTAGCTGGCACGGATTACTGTGTGATTGCGGCGGATACTCGGATGTCCACTGGCTATAATATTCTCACTCAGTGATAAATGTGTGATGGCCTCCTCAGGGTTTCAGGCCGATGTCACAGCATTGCAAAAGGTTTTGGCATCCAGGCATTTGACCTATCAACACCAGCACAATAAGCAGATGAGCTGCCCTGCGATGGCTCAGCTACTTTCAAACACCTTATACTACAAACGGTTTTTCCCTTACTACTCTTTCAATGTCATTGGTGGCCTTGATAGTGAAGGCAAAGGGTGCGTTTTCACACATGATGTTGTGGGATCATATGAGAGGGTTGGTTATAGTTCTCAAGGTTCTGGTTCTACATTGATCACATTTTTCTTGCATAACCAACTGAAGTCTCCTAGCCCACTTTTGTTGCCTGCCCAGGATGTTGTTACTCCCCTCTCTGAGAATGAGGCTATTCATTTAGTGAAGACATGTTTCGCATCAGCAACAGAGAGGGATATTTACACTGGTGACAAGTTGGAGATAATGATATTGAATTCTCAAGGGATTCGCCGTGAAGAAATGGAGCTTAGGAAAGATTGAGATTTGGTCAATGATCTCACTTTTCACCCTTGTGTACCCTTGTGTTCGGAACGCCTGCCAGAATACTTGAATTTTCTTTTCACATTTTATGGATATGCTTGTATTTCCATTTTTATTTGAACTACTTTCTGACGATCTTAGAATATAGACTGTGGTTGTTTGGTTTTAAAAAAAGTATTATTCTACATAGTGTGACTTTATGATTTTATGCGTGAAGCCAAAAAAACATATTCTACTACCTAAACGGTTACTTAGCTTTTGTTAGAGAAATGCACATATAGTTATTGCTTATGAGCAGATTTTTTTTAAACCATTCCTATATATGAGGTATATGTGTATATATGTCTCTTTGTGTTTAGTTTTAATCAATTAATAAATGGAGTAAAATTTCTATGTGATTATACAAGTAAATAAGGATGATAAATGAGGTAATTGGGGACAACCCAGACCAAACAACAGATCCAAAAAATGCACATGTGATAGCATAACCTACGGAAAATGTTACCTTGGAGATTTCTCCCGAGGACCACCTGATGACTAAAAGTCAATCAAAAACACTTCAGGATGAAGAGGACTATTTTGTATACCCGATCTACACAAACTATGACTCGCCTCAAAACCTTGTAACAGGTCTCAAACGTTATAAGTCATCACATCCAGAGGCAAAAACATGCATACCCTCCTTATTTGCAAAGGGCCATCCAGTTTCACTATAAATTCAACCGAACGCTCGCAACAACTGTCGGGGTGCCTGCAAATTTTACTTGTTAAACTTTATCTATGCTCTTTTGTTATTTGTATTTTCTTCATTGAACATTATTTTGTAACTTCATATTTTTTAATGATTTGGAAAATGTTCCCCGACGAAAAAAAGTATAAATATATATATATATATATATATATATATATATATATATATATATATATGTTTTATGAATATTCCAAGAATTTTACAAGTTATAATAACATAAGCATGCATGTGTTTTTTCATAAAAGGGCCTTAGCTTATTCTAGGATTTAGAGTACTAGCTTTAGGGTGCCCACGTTTACATGTTTTGGAGGCAAGTTATTCAAGTTATACTTGGATAACTCTATTTCCCCGCGAATTGAGTACGAGTTGGTTTTACTGACTATGACTGCCATGCACGTTGAGTTCGGGTTGTGATGACACTAAAGTTGCAAATAATTTCAATACTTGCACTAATACGCAGTGTAGTGTAGTAAGAATCGTATCCACAGGGAAAATAATATTTCTCTTTTAATTAAATAGTAAGAAATGGGGTTTTTAGGATTGTTTGATTTTAATTAATTAAATGTGAAGATGCTTAAATAGAGATGATGACTTGGTTTTGCTTATTTCCACTTACTGAAATGTTTGTCGATCCCGGTTATATCTTTACCTATCTTCCTCTTGAATACTCAATCGTGGAGTATCTCCAATTTATCGATGGTAGTTATTAATAACGAGACGCGTTCATTAATAAAACTTACTATCAAGTCAATATAAAACATGCGCCGTATATTGACCCGATAGTACCAATAAAACTTAAGATGAAATCGATTGAGATTGATAACCTCAACACAAGCGGTTTATTGGTTTAATCAATATAATTAATTCCCCTTAGATCATTAACCATGAGACGCATGCATTAATAATCCAAGTTTACTACTGTTGAAAGGACCGAATGAATAACAAGCGTATTAATCGATCGATTCTAGTAATAATTAATATATGAGACAAAACTAGTTGATCCTTTATGTAATGCTCAAAATATTAATATGAGATATAGAATAGGAATGTAATTAAAATTCAAAGAATATGATTAAAGAAAATAACTCACAACTTACAAATCATTAAGGTTCAATGTAGCAAAACCAAGGTGGAAGAGTTTAGCTTCTCATTTGGAGACTAAACATGCTAAAATTATAAAGAAAGTACTTAACTAGACTGAGCTTTAGAGTATAAGAGAATTGGTTGTTTTGTTGGGAAGAAAATGAGTGTATTTATAGGTGTTTGGAGGTGGCAGGGATTGGTACCCGACCGGGTATATAGGGTACCCGATCGGATATGTTAGGCAGTTTTCCGGAAAATCGCTTTTGTGGACATACCCGGTCGGGTATGAGCCAAATCTTCAAAATGTTGCACGTTGTTTTGTCTCTCCATATTTTGATTTTGACACCCGAATCAACTCAATACCTGATCGGGTATTACATATACCCGATCGGGTATATGAAATATTTTTTCAGTCTTCTTTTTATCTTGTCCCCTTGCACTTTCCTTGATCTTTTGGGGACCAATCTTGATCCTTTGGATGATCTTGACATGTTTTAAGCTCAGAATAATCTTAATATACAACAACAAACTATAAAACTAATTAAAAATGCAACTATACATAATAGAAATATAACAATATCAGGTTGTTTCAATTTCGGCTGGATGATGCGTTCTCCCACGGGGTGCTAGCATACGACCCCGGCTAGGGTCACACGAATCTCTGTGATCTGATGATCTTTGTTACATGATGGGTAAAGTGATTAGACTTTGGTCGAAATTATTTTATCTGTATCCTTAACTAGAGTATAGTCCTAAGAGTAAAGACTGAAATAAAATGAATAAAGAATGAAATATTCATAAGGTTGAATTATTAGCTTATGAATTTGAACAAGAGTTATGTGTGATTATTCCATTATTGGATATACGCCTCCAGCTTAAATAACTATTTCTATGTGAAATTATAATACGTATTGGTTTTAAAATTATGGACATGTTACGAAACGACCCAAATTAAAAAGAAGGTTTGGGTAAAGGTTATATGAAATCTTTGTAAATACCTATGAATATGAAATTCTGACAGATCTCTCATGATATGTATCTATATTAATTATGTAAATTGACTATAATGATATGGGAAATTTGCAATTTTCGTCCCGTAACTTTTGACCGTTTTCATTATTAGTCTCGTATCTTTAGTCACTTGCACAATAATTAGTCCTATAACTAATTAATATTTGCAATTTAAGAACTTTTCGCGTGAAAAGTACACTTTTTGGCGATAGTAGACCGGAAATATGTCGTCGGTGTCAGATTTTTCTGCCGCAAAGTGTACTTTCTGGTGGAATATAATAGTCCTTTAGTTGTAAAGATTTAATAGTTACGGGACCAAATTTGCAAACGAGTAAAGTTATAGGAGCAATAACGATAACAGCCTAAAGTTACATGACTACAATTGCAAATTTCCCTAATGATTTTAATACTTCTTTATCAATTATTTGAGTAACAAGTATGAATACATGTTTGTTATTACATGGTATATTATAGTATCACTCAACAATTCATTGATGAGCGTGTAGATTTTTCTAGACGTAGGTGAATATGGGAAGCAAGCTGGAGCCCGGGACAATGAGACATCTGGAGGAGACTACATTTCACATGTTTCAGTTTACTACCATATTTTAAATAAGTTGGTACAACAAACACCACTTTAAAAATTAAATATGCTAAAGTAATAATCGGAGTTTTATTTTAAGTTGTTATGTAATTGGATAATTATCTCATGCCCAAGTTGGACATTTTAAACCCTCATGCTCCAACTTGATAGGGGTATTATGGTATCATTTCTAATTTTGGATAGGAAATATTCTAGCCTTAACATTAATACATTAAATCATATGTAATATTTATTTCCCTTTCCTTAGTTGGCCTATAACAGCAGTAGCTTTATTAGTATATATTGTATGCAACAGCAAACAGAAGAAAGACAAGACTCATATTATTATTTGTAAGGAATAAATGTGTTTAGATTTTGATGATGCTAGATTAATTAGAACATTAGTGTACCCCCATTGGAATTGATGTATTAGAATTTTTCTAAGTGTAAGTGTTGGTCCCGTTTGAGTATGAAGCAGTCTAGGGGGGGGTGAATAGACTGCTCTGATTTTTCAGATTTTTCTCTAAGTCAAAACTGACTTATGAGAGGTGGTCCATATCTGGTGACAGAGATGGTCGAGTTCTGATGGCAGAACTGGACCAGGCAGCGGATTAAAGTCTGTCTGGGTAGCCTCAAGAAAACACTAAGGCAAATACCTTTCTAATGACTCTTAGAACAAGATCTGCTGAACACAGATTCCAAGTTCTTTAGAGTTAAACAGTTAAAGTCCTAAGTGCAGAAATTAAACGTAGTAAAGTAAATGACACCGAGGATTTTATAGTGGTTCAAGGAACAACGCGTTCCTCTAGTCCACTGTTCCACTAAGCTTTGAAGTAAACAGTTACAAAGCCTTAGTCCCTAGCACTTAAGAAGCACTCCACGTCTTCTTCAAGTCTAGTTGCCACCCGGGATGCAATTCCGCTTCCTGATGGCTAGTCCTTTCACTGAGCTTCCCGGAAGTATCACCACTTCACTACTCCAGTTAATTGGACGCCCTTCTTTGCAGAAGATGTTTCGAAAAACAGAGTTTTTCTCCAACTAGCTTCGTCACAGAAGATTTGTTGATGAAGTTCTTGAAGTGTTGAAGAACTAGAGGACCTTTGCTTCTTCGTTGGGGTTGAAGGATTTGAGTAATTTAATCTTCCCAACGTAAGCTTGTCTTGTAGAATGAATATGGAGTTTGAATCTCAAGAGAGCTTGTTTGAATATTTCGAGAGCAAAAGTTGTCCAATTGTTCTTCGTCGAGTATCTTTTATACTGGGAGTTGTCTGCCCGTTGGAGGAGGAGACAACTGCATTGAATGCGCGTACTGTGGAGTTGACCGATTGGACCCGCATATTTGGCAGGTTTCTATTTTTGTATAATATTCTCTAGGAATCTCGGTCAATCATCTGCAATTACTCCACAACGTATCAGGCTCATTAAATGAGCATTAAATGCTTTCCTTTGATGAAATATCTCCTAGCCGTTAGGGAATTTCCCGTTAGTTATACGGCCGTTGAAAGGTAGCATCGAATTCTCCTAAGTGTTTAGTGTCTGATGGGACTCTCTGATTAGCAGTTCTCAAGTCGGGATCTGATGATTCTCTGATAACTATTTGAGGGCAGCTCTGGTAGCAACTCTGATGATTCCTCTGAATAGCAGGTCTGCAGGCAACTCTCATAGCTAGTTATAGGAGCAACTCTGCTAGCACTTCTCATGGAGCGCGCAGTTCTCATAGCAGCTCTGATGCTTCTCTGAGGAGC